AACTAGCACGGGACAAAAAAACAAAATTTTTTAAACTTAGGTATGAGAAGATTGTGTTGCGCCAAACTTCCAAATTTGAGAACCTGCCTGCCTTATCAAAAATAAAATTAAAATTAAAAAAAAAAAAAAAAAAAAAATATCAGTATTTTTAAATCCAAGGTTTTACATTGGATTGAACACTGATCTCTGACTGTTACCTTTTGGGAAATACACAACTATCTCACTCACCAAGCAGGCCCCTTTTTGATGTGATAGAGTTTGACATGTGGTAATGTCACCTGGAATGGCAAGAAGCAGCCATTTTTTTTTGTTTCTTTTTATTTCTTTTTTTTTTTTTTTTTTTTTTTTGTTTTTTTTTTTTTTTTTTTTAGACAAAACAAGCGTAATATTTTGTTTTTTGTATTCTCTGTAAATCCTGTATCATGCTGATCTGATATTCGGCAAGATTTGGAAAAAAAAAAATATCGCAAGTTCTCTAATTATAAATACAACAACAAGTAAAGTTATTTCTTGTTTTTCTTAAACTAATTATAGATATATATAGATATATATATATACATATATATGTATATATATATGTATGTGTGTGTGTGTATATATATATATATATATATATATATATATATATATATATATATATATATATATATATATGTATGTATGTATATTTTTCAGTCCACTGACCAAACCTTTATTTTTATTTTTTTTGTTGCAGAAGTGCCGAGGGATGGGAAGTTTTGAGCAAAAGACTGATCTGGCATTTTTTTTTATCCTTTTTTTTTTTTTTTTTTTTTTTTTTTTCAAAGTAGATAGATATAGATATATTAAAAATCTGTCTTTTGTTTTTTTAGATTTTGTATATAAATGAGAGAAAAAAAAAAAAAAAAAAAAAATTGCTTCATAATGCCAAAATTCAGGTTTCCTGCCCCAGTGGTCCATGTTTTATTTTTACATCTTCAGATTGGGGTGGGTGGGGGTAGTCGTAAGACCAAAGATTGCAGATGGTGAGAATATTTCCTTGGTTGAAATTTTCTTTCCATAGCCAAACCAACTTTTAAGAAACTGAATTTAAATTAAGAAAAAAAAAAAAAAAAAAAAAAAATAATATATATATATATATGTGTATATATATATATATATATATATGTATATATATATATGTATGTATGTATATTCATTTATAAATATTTCTCTTCTGCATGTAAATAATCTGGGCTACATATTCTTAGAGCTCTTCGATAGAATCTGATGATTATACCAGATTTTATTTTGTTGTTATGATGGGAATAGAAATTTATTAGGTAGTTTGTGTTGGTTGATGTCTGGTGGACACCGAGTTTTAACCTGTTGTTAACGCTATCTAGCTTGATATCTAGGAAGGGTAAGGTATTGTGTTCTTCCGTAATTTACATACAGAATGAAAGAACACAATTCCTTACTGTTCCTAGATACCAAACTATATTGTTTTAGCAACAGTTTAAAACCGTGTCCACTAGAAATCAACAGACAAAAAAAAAATTTAATATTTTTCTATTCCCACCATAACAAAATAAAATCTGGCATATTCATTGGATTCTACATGAGAGTTCTAGGAATATGTAGCTCAGATTATTTACACGAAGAAGAGAAATATATTGAAAACACTTTCAAACTTTCAAACTTATTCAGTATATATATATATATATATATATATATATATATATATATATATATATATATATATATATAATAGTGTGTGTGTGTGTGTAAAAGAGAAAAAAGTCTTAAATAAGATTTTTTTTTTAACAGTTTTCTTTCAGTTCCTTACCAGACAAATTCAAGAAAAATTCATTCCACTGATCCATATCTGATGACAGACCAATAATTTGGGATTATGTGGAGAGAATTTTAATTCAGTTAAAAAAAAAAAAAAAAAAAATCCATTTTTTTTTTTAATAAAAATCAAAATGATTAAGTTTTCTTAAAATATAACTAAAAAAAAATACTTATAGAGGATAAGATAAAAAAAAAAAAGAGAGAATTAATTTCGGCAAAATTGGGGGGGGGGGTTAGAGTGTAAGGTGATTTTTAAATTTTTTTTTAATTTTTTAAAAAGATTTTTTGTAAGTTTTATTGAAAAAGTATTATTTTTCCTTAAATGAAAGTGACTCAATAATTTTTTTTTTTTTTCATTGAGAAGGGTTTTTTTTTTAAATTTTATATTTTAATATAAAAAGCATCTAACACATATGCTATCTCTCTTTTCTCTCACACACACGTCACTCACACAAGCACCTGTTCCTTACAACAAATACCAGGAAGAAAATGTTAACAATAATGAAAAAGTTTGTCATTAAAATTTTTTTTATTTAAATTTTATTTTCATCCAAATTTCTCCCATTATTTGCTTCTACTTCCTTAAGCATCTCTTCCTTCTAAGACTTTTTTTAAAATTTCATTTAGAAAAAAAAAAAAAAAATGTTAAAGAAAAATAAATAAATTAAAAAAAAGCAGCAGCAGTATTCACCTCCCCTTTTTCTCCTCCTCCAAACTGTCTGATACTCTTCATCACAAAAAAAAAAAAAAAAAAAAAATTCTCGCAATGTAAGAAAAGTCGTAGTGGTTATAGCAATAATAGACGTGGTGGTGGTGGTGGTGGTGATTATTTAAAGGATCCGGTGTGGTGGGGTTTAGGTAGCAGAGAGGAAAGGCGGTAGTGTCTTTTTACTTATTTTTTTTTGTTTCGTTTTTAAATCCTTATTTTTATTGCATTTTTTCCTTTTACAAAGACAAGGGCCACCAATGAGTTAAACACTATACAATTAATTACACAAAATTAATAGCCAACCAAAAAAATAAAAAATAAAAAAGTTGAGCACATAAGATTTTTTGTTTATTTTATTTTTATATACTTTTTGTACCTAGTAAAATGATAAAAGATATATATGATAAAATAAAGGTCTGTTAATAAAAGAAAAACTAGCAAAAAAAACAAAACAAAAAAAACAACTTTTTTTAAAATTATAATCCAATTAAATTTACAAATATGGCTGATTGGGGAATTATTGAATGCAATTAAAATTGTTAAATAAATGTAAAATATATATATATATATATATATATTATATATATATATATATATATATATATATATATTATATATATATTGTGTGTTTTGTGTGTGCACACATTTATATATATGTACACCAATATAGGCAAATTCTTCTATGCATACATATCAGGTGAATATCATTAAAAAAAAAAAAAAAAAAAAAAAATAATGAGATGTTAATTTAATTGCAAATGCAAAACATTCACCTCATAACATCAAAGTTAAGAAATTTTCTCATTTCCTTGACAATTTTGTTCATCTGTGTTGTCGGAGAGACAACAAATCTTTCTCAAATAGATTTAAAAATTTAAGCAATATTTTTTTGGCATTTAATAAGCTCTGATTTTTAAAAAAATTATTTGAAAATTTAGAAAAAAAATTACTGTTTGAAAAAAAAAAAAAAAAAAAAGAAATCAAACAAAATTGGATGAATGATTGATTGGCTGATTTGTAATGATCAATATTTTCTTTCTTTCCTTCTCTCTCTTTCTCTCTCTCTCTCCTTATTTACATCTCAGCTTCTGACAAAAGGGTGGAAAAGATGTAAACATCAACCATATCAGATGTTTTTGTGCCAATATATATATATATACATATATGTGGGGGGGGGGCGTGTCTGCCTGTCTGTGTGCACGTAGGTGGCTACAAAAAAAAACTAGCCATGCTTACACTGGAAGTGGTAAAAAGCTGAGATAGCCATTAGAAAGAAATTGGCAACAGCCTTGGATTTTCTTTGGGAATCAAGAACGGTAAGCTTCAACACTACAGAAAATGTAGATGTAAATGCAATGTAGAATGACTTTGAGGATATCGTAAATCTAGATGGAGATTTAAAGTAACAATTAAGAAAGGTAAAATCATTTTTTTTAATCTAAATTTTATTTTTTCGAAAATAGGATGAAAATAATAGAACTGTGTGTATATGTGTGTGTACATACACATATATGTGTTAATATATATAATATGTATGTATTTTTCATGAAGAAATAAGCATGCTGCATATATGTAATTATCATTTTTGTATTGCTATTCACAGATGTGTGGATATTTGTGTATATGCTAGATCTAGTTGTGGATAGATTGGGCAATATGAAAGAATTCTTTAATTATAAGGAAAGCTCACAATACAGTAGAAATCTTATCAGTACATAAAATTCTTGCGAAAAAAAATTGGAAATTTAAAAGAAACTTTCCTGCCTTTCAGGAAAGACATTCAGAAAGCATTTTAATTTTTTGCAGAATTTAGGTAATTTTAGAGAATTCACACTTTATTAAATAAAAGGTATCAAGTCTTCAAATTCCTTTATTTCAATAGAATACAGTAAAGAACAGTTTCTTTTATCCTTTCAGAAAGAATAAGTGTTTTTTTTTAATAATTTACAAAGTCACACTGGCTTTGATTTTTCCCATTAGAGTTACTTTTTTTATCCCAGTTGCTGACAGAAACACAGAGAGAGAGAGAGAGAGGGAAAGAGAGAGAGAGACAATGTTTGTTTTAACATACCAAAGTTTTATCTATGGTATAAATATTATTACTCAGTAACATTTTCTGGTCAAGACCTTTATTATTTTGCCAAATTTTGTTTGGGTCTAAAAATTAAAATTGTTGACAATTTTTCCCCCCTCTACTCCACTTTTAAAAAAGTCATTTATATATTTGTTTTTGTTGTTAATTTATTTATTTTTTAAATGACTGGGGAGAGGGAAAATTAGTTTCTTGGATTTTTTTGTTGTTGTTTTGTTTTAAAAATTTATTTATTTTTGCCAGAAGAAAAGCTGTTTTGACATATTTTTCCATTATGTTACTGAAGTTTTTTTTTTTTTTTTAGAAAAAAATTTCTTGTTCATTCACGTTTTTTTTTCCCTTTCTTCATTTGTTCTTTGCTTGTCATAACTCGTCTTAACATGTTCAGGCGCTTGTCTCTAGCGCTGGCTGTAGTTTAGGTTGCAAAGTGGCTGCTTGCAGATTTGCCTGCATGTTCGGTGGCATTGTCGGCTGCAGTGTTGACTGCAGTGTGGTTTGCATACCACTGTGCATGCTCTGAATAGGCTGCATTGCCTGGATAACTTGGACTGGCTGTCGTTGGGGTTGGGTTTTACTTGGAGTTGGTTGTGGGGGGTGATACGGTGGGGGTGGGTAATCGTCAAAAATGTAGGTAGTGTGGGTCCGGTGCTCTTTCGCAAGAGTGGCATGAGCTCGCAAGCTATGGTGGCGTTCCCCAGCAGAGGCCGCTTGGGCAGTAATGCTCTCGTAGCTTCTCCGTTCCGGGATCACCTCATAGTAGTTCTCCGAACTCGACTGCGAGTAGTCAGCCTGCTCGCGGTCGGAGAGCGAAGGATTCACGTAGAAGATGTCCTGGGTCATCGTTGCCTGGCTCGAAGTAACCGAACCACTTGTCTTGCGCCGGACTGCCACACACCAGAGAGAGAAAAAGAGTACAGCCAGAATCAGGGTGACTCCAGCCACTACTCCCAGAACAACAGACACATAGAAATAGGGTTCAGTTTCAGGTTTGGGGGGGATGTAAGTCTTAGAAAGAGCATCCTCCTCGCAAGTGCCATAGAAACCGGTAATGTTGAAGAAGTAATTTAGATTGAATTGTTTGTTAGAGGCGCAACGACTTACGGAGAAGTACCATGTCCTGGACCCTCTCGACCGAAATGTCCGCTCCCCTATGCACACATAGTACGACTCTCCCGTTTCGTTAGAAATTTTACAGCCGACAGAGTTATTACCAGTGTACAAAGGTATAATCTGATTGTTGTCTGGTGGCAGTATCTGTTCCCGTTCAATGCAGGACATGTTATCGTTTAGAGAATTCAATTGGTCATCATAGTAAATCAACAGATTTGCACAGCATTCACTCACAGGGTACCAGAGCTGATATTGGATTTTCGCCATATCTCTGTGGAATGTCTTCTGGATTAGATACCCGTACCATGGTAGCCGCGTGAATATGCGACCTTTCACGATGCACGGAGGTTGTTGTGCTCTTGCCAGCCCAAGAACATAGACAATCAGCGCAAACAGAACAAACTGTAGCGGCCAAGGTAACAAGAAGCCAATAACTGAAGGTTTCCTGTCAGCAGCCATTATGAATTATATGTAATTAATTATCAATTATATGTAAAATTTCAAAAATTGTTTTTTAAAAATGTAACTTTTTTAAAAATTTATTTATACTGGATAGGGTTGGGTGATTGGCAAAGCCAAATTTAATTAATAACAATAATCTAACTATATATATATATATATATATATATATATATATATATATATATATATATGTATGTGTGTATATATATATATATATATATATATATTTAAAATGGAAAATTCAGTTTAACTCAAATTACTGGTGATATAACCGATGACAAGAAAAAAGCGTTGGGGGAAGCTGAAGGATTGAAAAAGTGATGTAAGAAGTGCGACTATATTTTGGTTTAAGCCAAATTTGGCACAAGGCCAGCTTTTAGGAGCACTCAGTGTGGATGGAGGAAAAGTATGAAACTGGCTCACACTGCTGTTTTCTTTAGTTAGTTTTTGTTTCTTGGTTAAATATGGTATATACTGAACAGATTTTTTTAACTTTTAAAATACTGCTATTTTTTTTTATCAATTTTACAAATAAAATGGACGATGTAGAAACTGCAATCACTTCTCTTGGCTATACTTAAATTATACTGAGACAGTTATAAACATTAATAGACTTACACTCAACAGATATTTTACAAACTTTCACTTTTTTTTCACCTATGAAATTAAAATATACAAAAAGCCAGACAAAAAAAGTGAAATAGAAAAAAAAAAAATAGAAAAAAAAAGCAAATAAAAAATAATCAAATTCAGGTGATGAGGAAATGTCAGTGATAATTTTTTTTTTACCCCCCTCACTTTTGTTGTAAGAAAAAAAAAATAGGTAAAAAATTTGCGTCTCCTTTCTTGTGGTATATTTCCGCTCAGTGTTCGACTCCTATTAAAAGACTGTAGGTGAAAAGATTTTGTATCTTTCTATTGCGTGTTTTTCTTTCTTTCTTTCTTTTTTTCCCCCCTAAAATTTTCAGCACTTCTACTGATTATCCCAGTGATAGAGGGTGTCTCCTGCTCTGTATACGATGCTCCAGATCAGAGAATGTGTCAGGCCAGCTGATTGAAAGGCAGAGAAAGAAAGTAATATCACGGATAAGGATGCCAACATAACACAGACAATGCAGCATCCAAACCTGCAAAGAAAAAAAAATGAAAAGAAGAGATAAGACAAAGTTATACATAAGTCATTAAAAAGAATTTTATTTTTTAATCCAACATCATACTTATTATAAAACCCAGGTTGTGTGTGTGTGTGTGTGTGTCTGTTCGTTTATATATTGGATCGGATTTCCTACATTTTTCAACCGATTTCAACAAAACTTCACAGGACTACGTAAAATTACCTTGCGATGGTTCTGGCAGCGGCAAAAAATGGGAAAAACAATTGTTTTTGCACGAAATCAATTTCAAAACATGATTAAGAGGCATCGCTGTTTTGAGAATAAAAGGGGGACAACTCATATCGAGTTATACTTATTATAAAACCCAGGTTTTGGGTGTGTGTGTTCGTTTATATATGGGATCGGATTTCCTACATTTTTCAACCGATTTCAACAAAACTTCACTTTCTTTTTTTGGCAGGTACTGTTTCTTATTGTCTTGCACACTTTTTTTCTTTATTTTTACATTCAGAATGCTTTAAAAATTCCATTTACAAGACAGTTGTTTATAATAAAATTGAAAAGTTCTATTCAATCGGTAGGCTCATAACGATTGAAAACAATGTTTTTGTTTTGAGTTTGACCAATTCATAAAAAAAAAAAAAAAAAACTAATTAAGACATGCGTGTCCATCAACCTTAAACAATAATCTTTGTCAATTTTATTTTTCAGTCTTTATGATGGTCGATACTTGATCTATCTCTTACTGTTTCAACGCCGGGCTCTACTGCTAGTCTTTACTATACCAAATGTTATTTCTAGCTGCATTTCAGTAGATGCTCCATTTATTTAAACAGTGTTTATCCCATCCACCAGCCTGCTCACTCGAGAAAAAAATGATTAAATATGTGCCCACTGGCAAGATTTGAACATGTGCAGGAGAAATCAAACTCTAATCTAAGTTCTTTGACCAATCATCTACAGAGATATTCAAAAACACCGACAGTTTGACTTAAAGCACATTCAGTCATTTCCATTTTCTCAAAAGACATATCTGCTAAATTTTTTATTTGAGAAGTAAACAAAGCAATTTTAAAAGAATTAATGGATTCTCTTTTTTTAATCCAACATTTTTAGTGCTTCAAATATTATTTTTAGTGGATATCCATATCGGAATAGACACCTCACATATTTTAACAGTGTTTATACTGCCTACCCACCTGCATACTCAAGAAATGCTAATAAAGAAAATATGCCCTCCAATAAGATTCAAACCAGCATCGCATTTGCTGGAGAAGGCAAACAGAACCGTAGATTTGATCAGTGGTATAAAATCAATCTACACCCAAAGATTATATAAAGGGTTAAATTTGAAATTCCCTGGAGATTAACCAGATTAACAAGCACTTGATTAAGTCCAGAGGGCACAACATCTGAAACGTTATGGTAACAACAATAAAGGCAGACAATCGTCTTGTGTAGATGTAAATAAGGCTTGAAGAATTTAGCACTCAAAAGTGGAAGTAACATTTAACCGACTTAGTAAGTTTGGTTAAATGGATAACTGAAAGACCACAAGCAGAATCGATACAAGGTTCTTATTCCTCCCTCAAATCTATGATAGAGTTTCACCCCCAATCTATGATACAGGAGCTCCCCACTTAACTACATCTTAATTTTCAGTATCTCTTTATATTTCTGAGATTAGGTATTATGTACATTATTGTCCGCATCTTTGTTAATTTATATGTATACATAACATTTGACCATTATGCGCTCGGCCTTCTTCAGGAATCAGCACATTCCAACCACTTGAAGAAGGCGGGGCGCATAAACGGCAAATATTAATATTACATATATATGACAAAGATGAGGACAATAATCCTTTATGATGTAAATAATCTCAATTTTCATAAGTTAGTATTCATATAAAATACAATAATGGATCATATGCAGTTTAGGTGAACAATTCAAGTAGAAAAACTGAAAATAAATACAATTTATCTAAATACAAATCAGAGATATGTCATAAAAGATAATTCCATCTTAAACCATAAACAGTAATTTTTAACATCACCTTGGCATTTTTCTTGTTAAAAACTTGAATAATTTTAACACAGTCAGTCCATTATGTGCCATGCGTGATACACGCTTAGGGGATTATGTATCTTTCAATATATGAATGACGAGGCAGATTTTTTTCCCGCAGTACGTTGACATTTCTTTCTGCGGTAGACCAGTTGCGTCCCAAGGCTATCGAACCCGGTCTGTCCTGCTATTTACTCATAGCTGGCGGGAGAAGAAGAGGTCCATAACTCTCCCAAGGGTATTAGCACGTAAGTGAATGCAATGGATTCGACAGCAATTCGAATTTTGATTCCTCAATCCGAGCCGCTATCCATTACTCCGACATGCTAACATTATGAATAAAAAATAGTGAATTTTTTATTGTGTTTTTTATTCATTTATTTTTTTCCAGACTTAGCATGAGCAAAACAAATTCTCAGATTTGGACAAAGAAAGAAAAAAAACAAAAAAAACAAACAGAATAATGTCAAAATCTGCAAAAAAAAAAAATCAATCTTCTATAGTCAGTTGTGTATAGTTTCATTTATAAAAAGTAAGTGGAAATAAGTAAATGTTGATAAGATAGCATGCGACACAAAGTACTGGCCGGGCCCCACAATCAGGCTGTCTTCCCCACCGACGGGTAAGCTTCGGGAATAGTAAGTGCCAGGTCTGACCACAAGGATAAAGTTGGCTAGTAAAAGAGAGGAGTTATAGTAACAATAGACTGGAAGTTGTGGACAGACATGATCGCCTACATGCTGAAACCATCACACATAGAAGCTGATTAAAAGGGGATTTCTTTGAACAGAGATATTACATTTGAATTGAACAGGCTAAAGCTTTTTGTCAAAGACATTTTTAAAAACAATTCTTTCACCACAAAAATGTTTTTATAAGAATGTAAATAAATTGCTTAAAAGCCGCCATATTGGGTGGCATTTAAGTCAGCTCCTGCTGAGAGATCTTGATTGGGCCTCCGGCTTGTTCAGGAGTTTGAAAGTCCCTAAGCCTTTGTATATTATCAGCATTGGAAGCTCTCTTGGCCGCCATTTTATCTGGGGTTTTATTTGCCCGGGACTTTCCTTTCCTTGCTGCAGACTTTTG